TCACGTGACACAATCACATAAATTTTATGAAAAATTTTTTTTTTAGGAATTAGGCATTTCAAATTCGCAATATGGAGGGAGAATTTGTTTAATGAAGTTTTTTTTGTGACAAAATAGTTTTTGACGAAATGAACATTCGACGAAACAAACTTTCGACGAAATGAATAATACAAAAATTAACTCTTTTAAATTCGACCTTGCATTCTGTTTAGGTTCGGTAGATACAAGTCTTGGAGCAACCACAACATCAAGAACAGTAGATTGTAAAAGAAGCAAGTTGCATTCACGTCCAGAGACAATCTGATACTACCACTATATCAAGCACGAAATCAGTATCATTTGATTACCAAAACTTCATCTAATGGTGTTAATTGCCTTCTTTAGTTAACGAAATAACCCATCGTTACCTTCCAAGAGGCTTTGTTACTTCTAGGAAACCATCTACAAACATTTTTTTGCAATTACGTATATTGTGATTATGCTAACTATGCTAATTCGAATAATTGTAGTGTGGATGTGGTTATCACAATCATTGTTTACAAAGAAGCCAACCTAAACGTTTGATATCTTGGATTATCTTGAAGTCGAAATCAAAAAAAATGTCAACGCACTAAAAGAAAGTATAACGAAAAGATTAAACGAATATGAGTTTATCGAAAATATTGAAAATACAGTTGATGATGTTCTGGGCAACGTTTAATCAGCAATAAATGATGCAGCAACAATGGAAAATTTTATTAGGACGTGCAAAAAAAAATTTTTTAGGTTGTAATTTTGTTTTTATTAAATAAATTTGTTTGATTTTTTCATACATCGTTCATGTTTTGTCTTAATCGTATATCTTGACATTCGTTATATTAAAGTTATTTTGGTTATATCGAGAGATATGGTCAAGATAAGAGTTAAGAAGAGAGTTATTCTTCGACCAAGTCGAAAACCAACCCTTTAAATACATTTTCAAGTAGCACAATTTAATTTATTAGACTATTTCAAAGGTTTGTCGCATGGTTGCTTCCAACTTCTTAAATTCGAACCATTTGTTAACGAAACAGCTGTTAGTGAAGTGATTGTTGACAAAATGAATCAAACCAACATTTATTTTTACGTTATCAAATTCGAGCCTGTTCTTATTCCTCCACTCAAACAAATAATTGTTCACAACACAACGAACACTATTTGGAATGTAATTGTTTTTTATGTGTCAATTCTTAGTAAACGTTCTGGTCTTGGGGCAGTTCTTGTTAAATAGTAAATTTTACTATGCATTCTTATCCGATGTACCAATTAACTATTATCTCGTAACAACAATAACATCTTCATAATAAAATACAAACATAAATATCTCAAAATTAATCTCTTGCCAGTGGAATCATCCACCCACTTCCAAAAACACATAAAACTTTAACTCTAACTCAATTACTTAATAATTGTCTAGCTTACCAAGGGGACAGGACGCCTTTGATAAGTATAATTGTGTGTGTATTTTCTGTTAACTATTTTCTTTATATTTATTTAGATTAGGCCAACGCTTAAATAGTGGAAATCCTAGCTAGGTGAGGTCAGTTAAGAGACTGAACCATAATTATAATAATCAGTGTAGAAAGTATCACGGCAGATACTTCAGATATTATAAATATCATTGAGACGTGCCGGCTCAGTCAGAAAACAAAGGACTGCTGAGAAAAACGTTACCGGGAGGGAAGTAAGGAAACTTGCCCTGTAAACAGAGATTTTGTGTGAGATGCGGATTTTGATCTCACAATGTCCATTATGCTGCATCCAGGATATTCACACTTGAAATCTTTTATTCTAAAAATGTCATCATGTGTGTGCTTCTAATTAAACTTTTTGACAAAATGCTTTGGCACACCCAGGATATTCACACTTGAAATCTTTTATTCCAAAATGATTTCATGTGTGCCCCATTAAAATTGCTTTATAATGAAATGCTTTAGTGCATCCAGGATATTCACACCTTGAAAAAATTTTCACCATATTTTACTACGTTGATTAAGTAATCCCCAAGTTTTATAGGTCTTATCACAATCTGGAATTGTGCAAGAAAATACTTTGTTATTTGATATTCATCACCTACTTCCAGATTATTATCACTATCCTCATCCTTATCCTCATCACTGATTTGCTTACTTTGATCAATCTATACAAACTATTGAATAATTGATAAAACGTGTGTTAGTATATTTTGTTCATAGATCTTGTCCTTAATGTTTACTTTGATCACTCCTATACAAACTATTGAATAATTGATAAAACGTTTGTTATTACTTGACCGGATTTTGTGATCCATGGCGGGTCTTCCGAGGCTAAGATTTTGCGCCGATTAATAACACTAGTGCTAAAGCAAAAAAGTAAGGAATTTTGATTCCTTTTGGTTTAGTGATCTCTATGCAGGATCAAAGTTGGTTTAACTCGTGGAGATCGACTATCCTAACATTGTATTTCGCCGACGGATCTGATAACTTAATTTGGCAAAAATTATCAGATTTTTTATATTGATCCCTCACTAAATTTAGAAACAAAAAAAAATTCTTTCTATTGAACCGCTTCCTTCACCTCATAGAAATTTAGTCTTTATAATTTCTTCAAAATGCCACTTGAATTGTCAGGTGAAAGACGAATTGACCTTGGTTCTGATCATGGAGATAGAGAATCTCATAAAACTTCTTCGTTAAATGAAAAAGAAACCTATGAGGAAGAAGAAAGACCTTTGAAATATAAAATTATTGCTTTGTTATGCGTTTTATCTTTAGCTCGTAAGTCTATTTATTAGGAAAAGTCATATGGTCTAATCATTTTTAATCAATCATGTGAATTTTATTTCAAGTGGGAAGTCATTACGCTGGTCATGCTCTTGACGCATTAAAAGCGGTCATTAAAACAGTAAGACAAGTTTATCGTCAACATTTCACGTGACACAATCACATAAATTTTATGAAAAATTTTTTTTTTAGGAATTAGGCATTTCAAATTCGCAATATGGAGTCGTTCAGTCATCGGTAACATTGGTTAATACAATTCTACCGATTCTCGGTGGAGTATTTATTGATATATTTGGCACTTTGGTCGGCTCCGTATTGGCTACTTCTCTTATAGCTATAGGAAATATTTTGGTAGCATTATCAACTGATTTAAAATCATTTGCCGTAATGGTCATTGGTAGAATATTATATGGACTTGGAAGTGGACCCATTGTCATAGTTCAAGTGGCTATTCTAAGTAATTGGTTTAGAGGAAAAGGATTGGCTATTGCTGTGGGAATTCAAATCGCTGTGTCAAGATTGGTACGTAATAATACAATTGTAATTTGCATATCCTTTTTTTTTTTTTTTTCTTTTTAACTTTTTTTTTTTAATTAAAAAAAAAGTCATCTTTCTTGGCCAATTTAACGGTTATTCCAATCGCAAAGGTTACAGGGTCTTATAAATGGGCATTTTGGGTACGATAACTTTTCGCATCCATTTAAGTCTTGTGGCTTTGAACTAATCCGTTCTTTATTTCTCTATAATTAAGTTTACCGCATTTCTTTGTTTCTTTTCATTGATAATCAACCTCATATACGTTCTTTTAATGAGAAAATTTCATAAAAGATTAAATACTCAAGAAATGCTAAAGCTTAAACAAAAGAAACATTTTAATCCTAAAATCCTATTAATTTTTCCTATCATTTATTGGTTCTTTGTTTTACTTGAATTTATATTGGGTAGTGTGTGGGCTTCATTTTTAACCATTCATACGTAAATATCTATCACTTTCATTTTTTTATAGATATTTCGATGGGGGCTTGGTAAAAATTAATTTCCCTTTTTTACATTTTTAGAGAATTGGTAAAAATTAGATGGAACAAAACGGATGAAACAGCAGCCTATGATGCTAGTATTGCCCAATTCTTACCAATCTTCATTTCACCTTTCCTTGGATTCCTTTTAGATCGTTTCGGACATCGTTCTTTAGTCCGTAAGTATTAAGATTTACAATTTTTTTCTCATTGCTCCTAACATGATGGCTAATTCCCTTTATTTTTTTTTAATCTTACTAGTTCAGTCTCCAATTCTTTTATTCTATTCAAAAGTTCTTGCTTTTGCCTCTTACCTCATTCTTCAGACTTTTCTTGAAATTTGGTTACTTCTTCTCTTTCAATTTCCAATGCTTCTTCAGCCTCATTCAATTGTTCTTGTAGGGAGTTTATTTGTGTCACCGGAATGCGAATTGGACCTTAATTCGCTGATCAATGACCCCGAAAATCCGGAGTAATATTTTATATCTTATTTTTATATTATCTATATTATTTATTTATTTATTTCATCTATTATTTATTTTTAATTTTATTTTATCCTATTTTTATTTGTAATAATTTCCGAATGATTCAATTTAATTATATGAGTTCGTGTTACATTCCGCAGAAGTAATTAATTAGTAACACGTTCGCATTAGACCTTTATTTAGTAGAAATTAATGAAGATTATCCTGAATCAGGATATACAACTGCCAATCAATTATCCAAACAACTTGAAGAATTAAACATTATAGCAAGTGAAAAGACTGTGAGGCGAACTTTACACACTAAAAATATTTATGGTAGAAAGGCTGTAAAGAAGCCATTAATTTCTGAAATAAATAGGAAAAAAAGATTATTTTGGTGTCATGCAAGAAAAAATTGGGGAAATGAATGGGATAAAATTATATTCAGTGATGAGAGTAGGTTCTTACTATTTCAAAACGTTTCAAATGATTGGGTTTGGAGAGTGGCAGGAGACAAATATAAAAAAAATTATTTAAGTCCAACAGTAAAACAATCTGATGGAATTATGGTTTGGGGTTGTTTTACAAGAAGAAAAATGGGTCCGTTAGTATTAGTTGAAGATAAATTAAATGCAAGTAATTATAATAACCTTCTTGCAGCCAATTTATTACCTTTTATTAACGAATTAAGTAGAGAAGATCACCATAATGATGGTGATGGTGTATTTATCTTTCAAGAAGATAATACACCATGTCATAAAGCAGCTGTTGCAAACATATGGAATGAAAATAATAACGTCATGGTTCTCCCCTGGCCTGCTCAAAGCCCAGACCTCAACCCTATTGAAAATTTTTGGCAGGATTTAAAAAGAAGACTTAGATTAAAAAACTATAAATCAAAAAATAAGAAAGAGGAGTGGTTTAATACTAATCCAGAAAAAATTAATAAATTAATAGATAGTATGCCATGAAGGGTTGATGCTGTTTTAAAAAGTGGAGGAAACCCGACAAGATATTAATTTTTTTTTAATAAAATACAATTAATTTAAAGTAGTTTCATATTTTTTTTGATGTCTTTTATGTTTCAAATTAGTGAGCAGTTTGAGGTTGAATTGTTTTGTGAATTTTTTTACGATTTATTTTTTTGTGTCTCTTATATTTCAGTAAAGAAGTTTCAATCTCATCAATTGGTGCAACTGTTATGTCTGAAACAGAGTGGGTGGATTGTCTCCAACTTCTATCTCTTCGTTTGATCTACCTTTGTTGATTTCTTTGATGAGTGTATTATGTTCTTTAACTTTCACAAAGCAACATCTTTACTTCGTTTACCAACAGTGGAATGTGGTATTTTTTGTAAACTTCTTGATATAATGGTAAAAATTATGAATAAAAAATTATGGAAGATAGTATTTAAAAAATATATGATTGCAGATAAAATATTTGTTTATTAATAATAATAATAAAATTACAATGATTAAAATGATTAAAAACAGATTTATAAGAATATTGTTATATGATTATATCATATTTATATTTAAATGACAATGTACTTAATTCCTTTATCTGCTAAAGAAAGACTTCAATAATAACCAATCATTAAAAAATAATAATAAATAATAATAATAATAACAGCCTAAATTTTCTTTCTTCTGCAATTGTCACTATTATGTATATAGTAATTATAAATATTACATTAAACAATTAGAAGAAAAAAAAATATTAAATCACAAAGAGAATTTATTTTCATTATTTATACCATATATTTTCTTAATACTAAAAATGTATTCAACATACATTAATTCCTTATTCTTTTTTGTAGGGCAGCATTGTAATTATTGGAATAACATTTTGCGACCATTCTTATCATTCATTATTTAAAAATGTGCATATATGTATCCTTTAATGAGTCTTGCAATATCTATTTTTATAAACAAAAGGCTAAGTTAATTATAAATATTACATTAAACAATTAGAAGAAAAAAAAATATTAAATCACAGAGAATTTATTTTCATTATTTATATCATATATTTTTCTTAATACTAAAAATGTATTCAACATACATTAATTCCTTATTCTTTTTTGTAGGGCAGTGTTGTAATTATTGGAACAACATTTTGCGACCATTCTTATCATTCATTATTTAAAAACGTGTATGTATGTATCCTTTAATGAGTCTTGCAATATCTATTTTTATAAACAAAAGGCTAAGTTTATCAGTAAGAATATAATTACAATATTAAAAAATTATATAATCAACTACTTATTATTAGTTTTCATTTTATTAATATTTTATTTAAAAATGTATAACTTCCAACTGCTAATTATTTATTGTTTCTTTATGAAACCATATCTAAAATTTTACAAGGAATAAAATAAAATCTCAGAATGTGTACACAAAATATCACGTTCCTTGTTAAAAATTACATGTGGGTGTACTAGCGACAAGTAAAAAGTTCTTTCGATTTTAATAGTAAAAGTTGACATGTTTCACAAAAATTTTACATAGCTATGACAGTAGACACATCAATCGCGTGAAATCTTGTCTGACTGATAAAATTCATTGAAATGTGATTAGTAATTTTGGTATAACAAATTTAAATGTAATTTTCTGATGTTGACTGTATGCATATATTCCAGAACCTAAAAGACATTTTTTTATTAGAAACAGATATTAAAACACAGATCATTCTCATTTAAAATTTTCGGAATTTGTTAGTCTGCATAAAATTATTGATAATGTTTTAATGCTCTAAAACTCAAGCATGTTATACAATTTATTAGTTTATTATTGCTTCAATTATTTCAGTGGTCTACAAAATCATGATTATATAAAAACATAATATTAAATCTCGAACTCGAATATTCGAGTCGAACCGAGCTCGAGCTAAACATAAACTCGGCTCGGCTTGTTCGGAGCTTTAGTAAATAGTATTAGTAACAAAATTTAATTTTACATAAATCGCTACCAGGAAAGTATCCACTCAACTAGTCACACAACCAAGATATAACACAATCCCAACTGAATTATGCTATATAGATGTGTTGTCAAAGTTAATTTAGCTTCGACTCAATACCCAAGATCTCAATTTTTAATTGCGTCTGACTCATGTTTTTAATATGACTCAATTAATTGCGGCTATGGTTAACCTAATACTAATTTTGGCTAACTAAATTATATATATACCTATCATAAAGCTTGAACATCAATTTTTATTTGAGGCGATTGGTTTAATTTATTTATTTTTAATCATTTTCTTTATAGTAATTGTGTTTGCTTTTTAAATGCATGATTTTTTCCAGTCCATAGTAGTAGTAACAGGTAATTGGTCTTTTATAGATTCCGTGTCTGTTTTATTAATATTTTTGTTGAATTGAGAATTTTTGCCCTGAGGTCTCTTTAGATTAGAGGATTCACCAGAATCTATTGATTCACAGTTATTATCACCTGAATGTTATCTCACTTGAAGAATAAAGAATATACATAAAATCTCTATATGACGAAATGTTTTATTTGGCACACTTGTGTTCATGATATCAAGGTTTTGGTATACACATATACTGAATTTATTAGCAAGAATCAACAAATTTCGTTATACATATGTAGCAAGGTTTCGGTTCCCATGTATACTGAATTTATCAGCAAGCAATTTTCATTATTGAATATAATTATTTATTGAAAATAAAATATAGGTTTAAAATCATCGGTAAACATGGATTGAATTCGACTATTCTGTGCTTTACTTTTACATGTTCTAAGAATTACACAAAACTCCATGTTCATCATCTTGTTGCTTCAAAAATAAAAGTGTGTTTCCAAAAATTTTAGTAACTCATATCTAATACTCATCAGAACCTGATAAATTATTTACTTCAGCTGTCTTCCTTTTAATTTTAATTAAAAAAAAAATTTATTTAATGCCATTTTATTATAAATCACCAATTATATCAAAGAATTCATTTTGTGATCACATGTTTCGGAATAATGAGGTAAGAATAAGAATAAGACGGTATTTGTAACGAATTTCGGTATAAAGAGATAGATTTCGGGTATAGATGTAACTTCGGTAAATCGAGGTTTGTTATATAGAGGTTTTACTACAGATTAGTTATATTAGGATCCTCCTCGTAATTGTTTTCGAAAGTTGCAAATGGCCTTTAAAAGTTTGACTGCCTTCCCACATACGAGCGCTGCTCTACTGATTTTTTATTTTTCTAAAAAATCTACGCTTTTTCTAGTTTTATTGTTTTACAACTTGTGTAACATTCCTTTGTTTATTTTCAGGATCATTCATTTCCGTATTCTATTATAATAATAATCTTCCCCAGCGAAAAAGCACGGCCACGTATTTTTTTGGGAGGATGGCGTTGGGATACCTAAGATGTTACTATATCTGAAATTTTAGGTTGAGAATTTTTAATTAGTAGTAAAGGGTAGTTGTCGTAGTAAAACCTTGAGTTCTTGCGATTTATACTCATAGCCACGTGACAGACTTTTCTTGAAATTAAGGAGGATCAAATTAACCCAATTTGGAATATTTAATTTAATTATTATTATATAGAATAATAATGAAATAAAAAAAATTTTTCCCATACTTATGCTATCTCTCCGTATGAACGATTCGCCTGCTTCTATTTTTTTTTAATGACTCTACCTACCATTATCAGTTGTCTTCAATTTCCATTTCGATATATAATAATTATGTCTTATTGACATGGGTCAATTAA